AAAACTTGGAATAGGGCACAGTGCAGTACAGGAGATGATTGAAAGCTTGGGCTATAGGAAAGTTTGTGCTCGTTGGGTCCCGCGGTTATTGACCGAAGACCACAAAGGTCAGTGAAAAGCCATCACCTCAGAACTGCTGCAGAGATATTGACACGAAGGCGATTTTTGCTCTGTATTGTGACAGGTGATGAAAGCTGGTTTCACCATTTCGAGCCTGAAATGAAACATCAGAGTATGGAATGGCACCATTTGCATTCTCCATCAAAAATGAAGGCAAAGACAGTGCCCTCAGCTGCGAAGGTGATGGTCACAGTCTTCTGGGATGCAGAGAGGTTTATTCTGGCCAAATTCCTAGAACCTGGGCAAACCATCAATGCTGCTTGTTATGTCCAGACGCTGCACAAGCTCCATCATGCATTGCGTGATAAACGTCCGGGACGAAACATCATCCTGCATGACAACGTTCGCCCCCACGCCGCTCACCTCACATTGGAAGCAATTGCAAAGACGGGGTGGGAAGTTCTTCCACACCCCTCCTATAGCCCTGATCTGGCACCCTCCGACTACCATCTTTTTGGATTTGTGAAGGATCAGCAGCATGGACAAGGTTTTGAGACAAGGGAGGCAATTCAGAAAGCAGTGTGTCAGTGTCTTCAGATGGCTGGAACGGAATTTTACAGAAGGGGAATTTTCAAACTCCTAGAACGCTGGGAGAAATGTGTACAAAGAAGTGGCAATTATGTGAAAAAATAAAGAAAGGTCTGTAGATTGAGGTGGTGTATTTGGTTTGTCAATAATAAAGCATGTTACTTTACAAAAAATTGTTGCTCATGGCTTTCAGTACGACCCTCGTATGTGTAGGAACAAATTCATGAGTCTGCATTTTAATAATTTCCTTTTAATCTATGTTGGTCATTCTCCCGAGTAGTTCTGCTGATGTGGAATGTCTGCCTTGCTCTGAACTGGAGCACATATCCAGTTTAAAATTAAATTTCCAAAGCGTCAAGTGCTCTAGGGAATAATGGTATAGAATGGTTGCTTCATATTTCTGTTGAAAACTTCCGTGTGCATAAGTTTCACCTGATTCTATCTTATCTATCTTTGTTTCTGTTACTCCCATTTGGAACATAGGGCATTCATGAAATGCTTCGTTTCACTTCTGTTCTCACCTGATTACTTCAGGTAAAGATTTAGAGACCGTCACTGTCCCACATTTTTAAGTACAGTCGCAATTTCTGTACATCAGACCTCAGTTCCTGTAGTTTTGTAGGGATATGAAACTTGGTGTCTCAGATTAAGGGAGGAACATAAGCTTAGGGTGTTGAAGAGTATATTTGGATCTAAGAGGGATTCGTAACTTATACTCCTCGCTTAATATTATTAGAATTGTCAATTCAAGGAGGATGAAATGAGTGGGACATGCAGTATGAATGGGAGAGAAGTGCATACAAAGTTTTGGTATGTAGACTTGAAGGACATACCACTAGGAAGACCTGGACATAGGTGGGAGCATAATATTAAAATAGATCTTAAAGAAATAGGACATGAGGGTGTGGACTGGATTCATCTGGTTCAGGATAGAAACAAGTGACAGGCCCTTGTGAACACAGTTATGAAGCCTTGGGTTCCATAAATCTCTGGGAATTACTTGAGTATATGAGCAGCTGTTAGTTTCTCAAGGAGCACTCAGCTCTGTAGAGTGAGTGAGCGAGCAAGTTAGTTAGTTAGTAAGTCAGTTAGTTAGTCAGTCAGTCAGTCCTGAGTTCTTCATATCAAAATGGATAAGCTTACTGGCCATACATGTCTGTGTTTTTCAAGTTCAACATGATTTTCTCTCAGGATCTGGGATGTGAAGGGGAGGATGGTGAGTCTGAATTGGCAGATGCTCTTAGGCGAGAAGCAAGACTGAAAGAACGTCTGCAAGAATTAGTTACAACATTGGAGAAGGTTGGGAAGAATTCTGAATTACGCCATCAGCAATCTGCTGACTTAGTGAATGATCTTAAACGTGCTAACAGGTGAGTATGAACAGTAAAGGTCAGGGAGATGGAAAATCCATTTATGATTACGTGAACAAAAGACATGTTACCTTACTTGGAAATTATAAATAAATTTTTCACAATGTAGTAACTCCAATCATCAAAGTTATTGCAATACATTAAAGAGGACTCACTTTTAAAATTAATTATGATATACTGTTTTCGAGTCTTTGTATCATGTTAAGAGTTTTGTGTTTTGAATTGTGAGCCAAAACAGTGCCTTTTTTCTTTTTTGTATTCTTTTCTTAATGTTCTTACAGCTTATGTCACCATTATTTCAAATTATGTATTTAGTGGTGTATGCATTCATATGCCTTGCATACAAGGAGAGATGTGGATAACAAGAAACGGATGTTAAAACATTTGGACTATCATTTTTGTAATCAGCATACCCAGTTTAGTACTCTTAGTTCCTTGGAACTCTAGCCATGGTAGACGGGTCGTACCATCTCTCGTGGGGCTGGGGGAGCAGTCTTATCAGCTTACGTCAGTGTGGGTACTACCAGTTTGGAATGTAGCATCTTGGAGTGTGGTCAGTTGTATAGTACTACTCCTGGTCTCAGTAGGCAATGTTTTCGCTCGGGGAGTAGCTCTGAACGTCACCACAGCAAGTGTACAGCTTCACATGCTCCACAACAGCGTTTACCTTTCCGCGCGGCTAAAGTTACGAGGCACTAACCATACTTGTTATTGAAGAAAGTGAAAATATGTTGTGTTGAGTAATATTCAAGTGAGTGTGTTCAGTATAAGTTGAAAAATTAATAGCACTTATCAAAGAAGACAGAATTGAATCAAGAGTGGTAAAATATACTCCAGTTTGAAGAACATGCTTTCCAAATGATTTCATTGGGATTTTGTGTCGCTTATTGATCTTGCTCATTTACTGCTAATAAGGATAGTCGGCATTTGGTTATTGTCACATAGGGGCATTCATTTTTTTCCTTCCATTTGAAATGAATATACAACATATTGAAAAATGTTTAAATAGAAGTTGTAGACCTCAGTTCAAGCTGTTTATATATGTATATTGTGTTTGATAAAGTTATTTTTTTTTGTTATGTAAATTATGGTTATTTTGGCCTGATGTGGATTCAGTCCCTATGACTGAAACATGTTAAGGATGAGAGATTAAAAGAACACAACATTTATCAGTCACACTGGACGGTGTTAATAATCTTTTATACTATTGCTAGTGTGATGGACCAGGATGCACCAAGTCAAAAATACAGCATATTTTCTTCACAAATTTTAGCATAGACCTCTATAGGAAATTTCATCAAATTCCACTGAGGAATTCTTGTTGTGAAATGCTGATGAATGAATGTGGCCGCCATATTGTGTTAAGATTACTGTAGAGTGAGATGTGATGCTGTGTAATTCGCTAGATACGTTTTTTTTATTGCTAGTGGGGTGGGACTGAGTCCGTTGTACTGCCGCACCTTCTGGCCTATTGTACCATCCCCAGATGATAGGTGGGGGTGATCGTGGAGCAATTGGTGGAATGAAGATTGGCAGGGGAAACTGAAGTACTCAGAGAAAACCTGCCCCAGTGTCACTTTGTCCACCACAAATCCCAGTTGACCAGACCCGGGATCGACCCCGGGCCACTGCGGTGGGAACCCAGCAACTAACCGCTTCAGCTATGGCGCGGCCCTTGTTAGATACATACAAACGTTCTTGGGGGAACCTGTTATCTCCATCTTCAAGGTAGATCATCACTTCATCTACAGCGAAGCTGGAGGCTGTAGGCTCTTCCAAAACATTGGTGCTTATCTACAAAGTTGTATGTCATCACATCTCAGAAAGCTGTAATCTTAATATGCCCTGCCATGAGAACTCTAAATTTCATGCTGTGTTTTCATGTTCAAAATTTCTTATGTAAAATCAGATTGAGTGTTTAATACCTTAATTTGCTGACCTGAATTATATTTCATTGCAGTGCACTTGTACAGACACTTGAAAGATCCAAAAAGAAATACCAATCCCGACTGAAGAAACTGGAACAACAGATGCTGGGGATGGTGGAGAGGCACTCAGCACAGGTGACCATGTCATATGATTACAATTATACATATATATTTCGTTCTTGAGACCTGTTAGGCAATTATTAAATGGGAGACCTGACGAGGAAAAAGTATCTGCACAAATTGAAATTTGACACATTCAACCTGTGCAGAAAGATACTACTAAATATGTGGGGCAATCCAAAAGTTTCCAAAATTTGAATTTTGCGTGCGAATGGTTATGAGTACATCGAAATACCGCTAGGTGTCTCGTCACACATCCTTCTTGAATCAGTGTGGCAAGCGGCGTCGAGTTGAGTGGTTGGGTTTATTGTTGGTGAACGTATTTCCATTGTTGTGTTTCCCTGAGTTTGCGGTTTTGAGATGGCTGACCTGAGAGAGCAGCGTGTCTGTATAAAATTTTGTTTCAAACTTGGGAAAACTGCTGCAGAAACGCACCAAATGTTGAAGCAAGCTTTTCGTGAAAACAGTTTAGGCCAGACACAAACTTACAACTGGTATAGGCGTTTTAAAAATGGCCGAACATTGACTGATGATGGCGATCGTTCGGGATGGCGGTCAATGGGCAAAACACCAAAAAATGTCGCGAAAGTTGGGGATCTGATTCTGCAAGATCGTAGACTGACCATCCAAGGCCTCTGTAACACCTTGGAACTAAGTTATGGTACATGTGAACGAATTTTGTCAGAGGAACTGAACATGAGGATTGTGGCGAAGTTTGTGCCACAACTGCTGCAAAATGAACAGAAGCAGCATCTCTTGGAAGTCTGCAGGGAACTTCAGCAACAGCTTCAAGAGGATCCAAACTTTCTTTCGAAGGTTGTCACTGGTGACGAAAGTTGTGTTTATGGCTACGACCCTGAAAGCAAGCAGCAATCATCGCAATGGAAGAGCCCTTCTTCACCTCGGCCAAAAAAAGCTCAACGAGTCAAGAGTAACATTAAGTCCATGTTGATCTGTTTTTTTTTATATTGATGGGATTGTTCATAAGGAGTTTGTCCCTCCTGGTCAGGCAGTCAATAAAGAGTTCTATCGTGATGTTCTAAGGCGTTTGAGGGAGAACATGAGGAGAAAACGTCCAGAGAAGTGGCGCATGAACGACTGGGTACTCCACCATGACAACGCATGACCACATATGGCTTACATTGTGCAGGAATTTTTGGCTAAGAACAAGATAGCAGTTGTTCCCCGCCCACCGTACTCGCCAGACTTAGCTCCATGCGACTTCTTTCTCTTCCCCAAGATGAAAATCAAGTTGAAGGGGCGAAGATTTGATACAGTACTACAGCAGACGGTACTAAACACCCTAACAAAGAAAGACTTCCAGGATGCATTTGAAAAGTGGCAGAAATGCTGGGATCGGTGTATGCGCTCCCAAGGGAACTACTTTGAAGGTGATGATGCAGAATAAGATCCAGGTAAGATGTAATAGTTTTTATTAATATATTTCGGGAACTTTTGGATTGCACCACGTATGTGTGATTGGAGGTTCATACGGTGTGAGTGCAAAGCTTACTGCCTTATAGGATGTGAGGCCAAGTAGTGTGGTAGAAAGTTACTAATATTTCGGAGGAATGTGCTGCATCCATTTTCAGAGTAGAAAATGATAGTACAGGTATAAGGAAATGGGCTATGAGAGGGCCAGTGGGAGGTGGTGGAGCATGAAAAGGATTTGGTCAAATATTTGAGGGAACAGAATTCAGTAAAAATGTTTTGAGGGGCAGAATGAGGAGAAAATAGGTTTCTCCGAAATGGTGGTAACTTCCTGCCAGATTATATGGCATCCCAGAAGACAGTAATTTTCATATTATTAATATCTGTCAGCAGAAAATGGGACTTCTGTTGTTCCAGAACATGTTACCTTCTACATTCTCTTATTTTATGTTCATAACCCATTGTATACTAATAAAGAGCCTGGCTCATTGTTGTACTGTAAGGACAGAAATGTATCTCATGAGTCTCACTTAGCCTCTTTCAGGTTATTTTATCCTTTTCAAGGCCAAGAAGTCTGTCACTTATTCAGTCAGTGGATTCCTGGAACTTCTTGATTGACTGTCTGTCTACATTTGGCATATCCAGGAAAACTTTTGGGCTCAGTGTACTGCTGTGTTTGTATCTTACTGTTGTTCATTTGGGCTGTGTCACAGCTGTTACACATAGTTCTGTGGGAACGTCCCCACATAACACGCTGTTTCGCCCGTCTTTCAGACAGCACTCACTCCTAAGTGAATATCACATTGCTGGACATTGTGCTCATATTTATACAGCACTCGCTGTTCAGCCCAACTTCGCATCATCGCTGGCCAATTAGCACTCACAATCTCAACTGCAAGTTTCGCGCCGCCCATCAAGCATGATATAAAAGGCAGAGCCCAAAGCTTGCATTTGTCAGTGATCACATTCAGTTCAGAGTGATCGGTCATCAGAAGCATCAGCTCTTCACTGCGACCAGGCAACTGACGTAGTTGCAGCAAGTCTCCAGTGACCAGGCAACCAAAGTAGTAGCTTCAAGTCTCCAGCGACCAGGCAGCTGCCGCAACTCCAACCGACCGAGGCAGCCGTTTCTATCGGCACGTGCAGCACTACATCACCATCCAGACAGGCCAGCTGAACAGCCGTAAGACTCCACCTACTACTGAGGAGCAAAATCTACCAGCACACTCGTGGTGGAACAAACTGCCCTTTGAGGGCCAGCCAACTGTTGAACATTCCACATAGCTTCGCAGCTATTCTGTAAATTCAGTTTATACGATTTAATATATACAGTTGTTACAGTTTGACGTGGTTGTCATTTAAAACATCGACAATCCCACAGTTCTTATGTTTCTCAGAAGATTGCAGCACCATATGGAATAATCTGTCATGGGTTTCTTGATCCAGTAACGATGTACAGTTTATTTTAATTTTAGGGAACATAAATTGTATTTTAAATCACAACTAAAGTTATTAAAGAAGGTCTCAAGGTCAGTTTGGAATGAGCAAATATAATTTATACCAGTGTATAAAATATGATATGATTCCTTGATATTACTCTTCTAATTTCAGGTGAGAACACTGAAACAAAAAATTAATACTCTTGAAGAAGAACTTGCAACTTCAAAGTCAAACAGTTTCCACTCACATCAGCAACCAGGCAACCAATCACACAGTTCAGGAGCAAGTGAGACTTCGTTGTGACAGAAGATATAGCAAACCACATTGCAACACACCGAAACCCCCATATAAGGTTTCTCTGAGTAGCTGTGGATTTGAACACTACACTGAAGAAATTCATAAAAGGAAGAAATGTATCGCTATGATTATTGACTTGGGATCACTGAAATTGAACACTGAGGGAGAACCTATAGGCAGTGAGCCTTAAATGGGGGATCTTTTGTAGGATCCACATGAAACCTGTCTTAAGAGTTGGTACTCTTCAGCATGATAAAAGGTCTCGTTACTAAAAAAATGGCTAATTAACCTTTATTGACATTGTGTTGCATGATTGTAATGGTGCATGCATGTGATAAAGCAGGTTGAGCTTTGCATATTTTATCATTACCCCCAAGTTAAAATGCAGCTGTAGTGCCAATGGATTTAAAATACCCACTTCATGGACAATGAAAGTTAAACAGTGATGCCAACGAAATAATAATTGGGAGTTCATTCTTTACAGTGGCCTGTTTTTGAGAATAAAGTATCAATATACATTTGTTAAGGCCTACTGAAATATGATGAGCTAATTGTTTAATAACCCTTGGCTCAAAGAAACAGTTCCTTGTTACCCTGATGAAATAAATCTAGTATTTAAAGTTATGTTCAGTGCTCTGGTGAAATGATGTACATTTAATTTTTGCCCCCACAGAATTTATTCTATATGAAATTTCGTCATAATTATTCTATCGTGTTTCTTGTAATTTTAGGGGGGGGGGGGCGAGATCAGAGGGAAAATAAAATTTCAGCAGAGAATATTGAAAGAACAGCAAACTTGATTTGAGAATAAAATTATGCAGGTATTGGCCTTAGTTTTAAAAGATACCAAACAATTTGTTACAACATTTCTTGGTGCTCTTTAAGAATATAAGTTGCTCAGAAGTGAAGAAATACATTATATAATGGCTCTAATTGATTAAAATTTTAAGACACTATCCTAATACAAACTAATGCTTTCATAATTATTGGTTCAGTCACTGTTCTGTACCGTCTTGATGAAGCAGGTTGTGGATATGGAACTTGTGCCCTAGAAATGCAGACTAATTCACCTCACATAACTGAAGGCATTAATGATATTTGCAGCAACCATCATATCTGAAGATATTACAGCATCAGACATTGAATCCTGAATTAGAGGGAATGTGGCATTAAACTCAGGGACTTTTGTCTACTAATACTGGAAAAAATGTAATTGCATTACAGATCATGAAAGCAGATAGCTTTGATATGGTTGCCACTGGACATATCCAGAAAATATCGTGTAGAAAAAGAAATGTTTTACCACTTATGTTTATTTCATTAAACTCTACATATTTATTTAAAATATTTCTGTTCAGTTAATATGAGTTAGATATCTGTGAAAATGAATTCTAATCGACCTGATTGTAGACTATAATCTGATAATTGGAAGTGTAAAGTCAGGTTCTCTGTGGTTGCTGGAGATGATCATACAAAATATCCATGCCATGAGCAAGAATTAAACCTGTAAGCTCTGATTTTTAGTGTACCTCGTCCAGTCTCTGATCTGTGAATAGTTAATCTGCATTGTATTTATCATTAGGCTCTAATATGACAATAATAGTGATGGTAGTGGTGGTGAAGATGGTGTTGATAACAGCAGTATGCTTTTGGTCATGTGTTTGATTCTACAAATGATCATCACTACTGCAAGGAAATGATGACTTTCTATAAATTACTCTCACAAGGAAACCTGTGTGATAAGTACAGATTCTTAGTGCTTGAATAATGAAAAGAATGACCATTTCCATGTTGGAATTTGTTGACAGAAAAATATGGAAATACTAACTCTGTTTGTTCTTAGGCTTCACAAATAAAGGGTGATCATCGTAATCATCTGTCAGTCAGGGAGTTTGTGCCACTTGGATTATTTCAGTCCTGTTTGTCCAGTAGTCTCTTTGAAGAGCTTTCCCAGTTCCTTCTTCTCTTTGATTTACACTTTGTGTAGTTTCAGAGGTCTGTTTGTTTGCATTCTGTGGAAATGTTGGATCTGTTTGGTTTTATAAAGGCTCACATAATCAACAAAGTGTGACAAGTTAACAGAGAAATGTATTTACCAGTTGTTGGTTATGTGGAATCAGAAGTGGCTATAAAATGAAAGCTGTGATGTTCATAGCAAACAGTGTTTTTTGAAATATGTGAAACAATTTTTTGTAACAGATACTCCCAAGCTGATGCACTGAATAATTTTACGTCTGAATTCAGTTAGTCTCATAACACTTCTACTCCACTGATGGAGACAAGCATAAAGGGGATTATTTCTTAATGTGAATGTTAATATGAAAAGAAAATATAACAGAATTTTATTTGTTGTTTATTCTTTTGTTCTGTTCTCTGGGTATTCTGTCCATATATATAAATAAATAGATATCCTAGCACTTTGGTAATGTTCATCAGCCCAGAGGAACAACACATAAGCACCAGACATGTGTGCCCCAAACTATTCCTCCACTTACTTTTCTGTTCCTAGACATGGAAAATATTGTCACCCCCCTTTCCTCCTATGTAAAACTACAGCACTGTACTCTCATATCATCCTGACTGTTGTTGTATTTTACTTGTTTGCAAGATCTTAATAGATGTATCTCCTACCATGACACTATGGGTTTCCCAGTGTGCATAAATTACTTAGGAAGGAAGGGAAAAAGACTTAACATGTAGGTTTGTTGACAGATTCTTTGACAGACTTGTACATATGTATTGTATATATTAATCTTAAGAATAATGAATAATGTAGAAGTGAAATGGTGCAAATAATGATGGTAAAAAGCAGTATAATTGTTCATTTGTAAACAAAGATCCATCAGTCCTGCACATCAGCCTGTTTGATGCCCATACTCCTCTAGTCTGCATGCCTTACTTCAAAGTCCAAGGTCGAAACCTTAAAAAAGAGGTTCAGATTTTTGAGAATTTAGAAAAATGCTGGAAATTGCTCTTTGGGCTGATATTGTTAATTAAGGCCGATCTCACTGGCCGTGCAGTCTAAGGCATTATCTGTCTTTGCTCCATGAAACACTGGGATCATGGGTTCGAATTCTGCTTGAGGCATGTATGCCTGTGTGCGTTTATTCTGTTTGTGTTCTTCTGTGTGTAGGTAGCGGCCCGACAATGGGCTGATCCCCCCCTTCCAAGTAGTTCTACCCACCGTGTAATAGGTTAAAGAAACCGAAAAAGCAGGCAAGGTCCAACAAAAGGACTGTAAACCCATAGAGAGATTGTTAATTAGACCCGAAAATCTCCTGCATTCAAAAGAGTATAATCGGTTAACCTGTCATTATCATCACATAAAATAGACATAACAGAAGAATTATTGCCACAACTGTGTATACGTTATGGGAATAAAAGGATGAATTGTCGAAACAGGTGTAGGTGTCAGGTAAGGAGAAAGGAAGTCCTTTCAAACTTTGTACGGTTTTATGTTATTTAAATGGTTAAATAGTGGACATAACCTCCTACCACCCATGGGTACTTTGCTTCAGAATGTAATTACCTTGCTGGAAGGGAAGTTAGATTTGTGGGTTTTGCCTGCCCTGTAAACAAGTGCAAGTTAAATGTACGTGTTGGCGCTCCGTTTTCCAATGTGTTATGAGTTGTTCCAGGTTTGTAGAGAGAATGGAATTTTTATTTACGTGGGTACGTTATAGTGGGATGAATTAAAGAAATACATCTAGGTAAAGAAATTTGGTGAGAAACGCGAGTTCAGTGGTACCCAGTGTAAAAAGAAATGTGGTAACGTTGCAGACGCGTATAAAGGTGTATATTTCAAAAGTGTGCTTGACCGGTAAAAAACGCCAAGTACATGACAGGAAAATGTTTATGTGAATAGAAATAATTTGTAGGAGTTCTAGAAAAATGTGAATCACGAAACATGCATTTCTGGGACTCCTACAAATTATTTCCATTCAGTGGGTTCTTGTGGGTAATGAACTTTTTGTGTCCATAAAATTTGGGCAATTCTCGAGTAAGTGCACAGCTGGCGGCTTCTGAAGAAGGGCTAAGCTCCAGGGGGCTAGTTAGTTCTAGAAATGTGTGATTTGTTGAACCTCAAGTAAAAAATTACCATTTTATTATGAGTATTAGTGAACTCTGCTTGTTACCTGTTTCACACTGATTTCCTACTTGTTGGATTCTTCAACTTTGAAGATGGAGATGACACGTGTCTCCAAAACGTCGGTTAATTGCCTCATCAGTTATGTGAACACTCCTCATATTAGTGATAAATTTGGTGAACTCTTTTACCATTCTGTGAAATCCATCACATCCCTGTAGGAAATAACTTGAATGACAGAGAAAGAAAGGTATGTATCTGTAACCATTCCTTCCTTTATTATTTTCGCCTCTTCAGTTCTTTGTGAAAGTCATTAATCAGGAACAGGAGTTAGGTTTTTATATTGTTGTCTGGCATATGAATGGGAGTGTATAGTAGCATAAACAATGGAACAGAAGTTGGAAGACGAGGTGTAGAGGTTGATTCGAACATTCAGGATTACTGGGTTTTCGGACTTGTCTGTTGTCTGGTATTCTAAAAACTAGAAACCACAAGGTTTTGGAAAATGGTTCTGTTTCCATCCTCAGGTGAGGAGGGAGACACCTCCTCTTTTGGGTCTCTTAGAAAGGTCCAGTGATTCAGGTTAGCTCTTTCTAAGGGACCCAACACAATAGGTGTCTTCCCCTCACCTGAGGCCAGAAACAGACCCAGTTTCTGAAAATTTTTATACTTTTTTAGAATACTGGATGACAAAGTCCAAATACCCTATAATTCTGAGGCATAGAGGGTTAATTAATCATGAAATATGCCACACTCACATCAAATCACAGTTCACTGTTAAAATATATTTATTCAAATAACAGAGGAGCATTCAGATATACTAATTCTATGAAACCCTTTAACTGATGCAATCATTGAAAAATGTGAGGTTAATTTTAATCCAAATTGTGTTAGTTGACAGAGAATATAACCTTATCTCCCTGTAAGAGATTTTGCTTGCAGTGATTAACAAAGGCTGGAATATATTAGATACTCCTTCAGAGACAAAGTTACCTATCAGAATCTTAATTTCATGCATCATGCTGTGCTACAATATACAACTCTTTAATGAACCGTCACAACACAGCAAATAGTAAAACATCAAAGTCAGCATACAACTGTGGCTTTGCTACATGTTTTGGCCACTGTCGGCAATCATCAGGCAAATACATATCAAAAAAAACCTACCATTTAACTGCAATCATAAAATGGATATAACACTATTAATCGTACAATTTTAAAATTGCTTATGTAAAAGTACAAAAGTTCAGATTATATAAAAATTAAAAATTGGAGGTATTATAACAAGATAAAATATTAATGATGTTTTCAAAAACATTTAATCAGTCATTGGATATACTTTGTGCGTTTCCATAGACAATAGGGAAATTCGATATTACTTTATATAGAAGATTTTAAGAGATCCATGGTGTAGCAATTAATGAATCTGAAAATAATATAAAAAAGTAGTAATGTTAAATTTTGTTATAATTAAATAATTTAACATTGAAGATATAGTATAGACAAATATAAATCACTCCATCCAGTGTGACTTGTAAGTTTTTTACTACATGAAAACTTAACACCCTTACATGTTTCGGTCTCTGTGGACCATCTTCAAAGGGCACACATCACTACAAATAGGAAATAGGAAAGTAGTAATGTTAAGNAAGTTATCATTCAGTTGTAGGTTTTGTTTACTGATTTCGTACAACTTTTCGTAAGTATCTAAGGTTCGGCCTTTCTTGCCGATATATAAAACCTCCAATGTTTTGTCTGTCGTACCATATTCATGTGTGGTGTCCAACATGTGTGGAGCAAATCTGGAACTTTGTCCGTTATTTTTTATGTCACGTATGTGTTCTTTGAATCTGATTTTAAAGGTACGTCCAGTTTGCCCTATGTATTTTAATGGACAGTCAGAACATTGTAGTTGATAAACCCCGCTTAGATTATACATATCATTTTTGTCATCATTGATTTTCAACAAATGTTTTATATTGTTTTTAGTCTTATATGAGATAGCAACCTCAGTGTTCTTGAAAAGTTTAGTAATAGATCTAATTTCATGGCCAAAATAAGTAAAGGTGGCCCATTTATTTTCCAATGTAGTATTTTTTGTGGAGGGTTTGTGTGTATGTTGTATAGTATTTAGTGGGTAGTTATTATTATTTAGGATAGTTCTGACAATGTTTTCTTCTATGTTTTTATTGTTTTGCGAAAGGGGATATTGATTCATCCGATTAATGAGAAAATTTATAGCTGCTTTTTTGTGTTCAAATGGATGGCATGAGTCATTGTGAACGATTAGATCGGTAGATGTAGGTTTTCATGTGTTTTTTCGATAGATAGATCTAAGAAATTGATCTTATTATTTGTTTCTTTTTCCATTGTGAATTTTATATTGGGGTGAATATTGTTAAATTCGTACGACATATTTTCAGTGTTAGTTATATGGGAATTATAAAAGATTAAAATATCATCAACATATCTAAAATAATCAATTATTTGGTATTTCGTCAAAATATCAATGATAGTTGTATGTTCGAGGTAAGTAATAACATATACTCTATACTATATCTTCAATGTTAAATTATTTAATTATAACAAAATTTAACATTACTACTTTTTTATATGATTTTCAGATTCATTAATTGCTACACCATGGGCCTCTCTTAAAATCTTATATATAAAGTAATATCGAATTTTCCTATTGTCTATGGAAACGCACACAAAGTATATCCAACGACTGATTCAATGTTTTTTGAAAACATCATTAATATTTTATCTTGTTCTAATCCTTCCAATTTTTTAATTTTTACATAATCTGAACTTTTGTATTTTTACATAAGCAATTTTAAAATTGTACGATTAGTAGTGTTATATCCATTTTATGATTGCAGTTAAATGGTAGATTTTTGTTGATATGTATTTGCCTGATGATGGCCGATAGTGGCCGAAACATGTAGCAAAGCCACAGCTGTACGCTGACTTTGATGTTTTACTATTTGCTGTGTTGTGACGGATCATTAAAGAGGTGTTACCTATCAGAAGTTCAGCATGTGAGTCTGAAGCAGCACTATGCATCAGACATATAATCTTCTGTTTTTAAATTTGATTTGCTTCATTCTGGTCCGTCACACTAACAATTATAAACAACACAGCAAGCCACGAACAAACCCTGGACGACATCAAGAACCTCCTCATCAAGAGAGACAGGCGGCACAAAATCTGCCCCATACAAGAAGGACGATAGGAGTACGGACACGAACCTACGTGGTTTAAAAAATTGACAATAAAGGTTTTTTAAATAACATGTAGAAACTTTTAAAAACTTTACAACACCAGGAAGCTGCTGTGATTGTGAAACGTTCAACTCTATGTGTACTGTGCATTATAGGATATAAGCGTATGTATTTTAAATCAAACCACCTATTGTGATGGTAGTTTCCAGTTTGTAATGATGTTCCCTCTGAAGATAGCCCATAAGGACTGAAACATGTAAGGGAGATAAGTTTTAATGTAGTAAAAACTTACACGTCACATTGGACGGAGTGGTTTGTATTTATATTCTGTTTTTAATTTGAAAATTTAAAAGGTAAAAGCTAAAATCTGTTAATGTTAGAAGTGACTTGGTACAATTTTTCTGCAGAACTTTTAGAAGATACTGTATCTGGAAGGACAAGGGGTGGCATGGGGCATATGGTTTATTTTTCAGGTTTTGGCACTGGGCCCTTCCCTCTGATTGTATGGCCTCCTCCTATGCAATGAGTTAGAATAAAAATCAAGCCTTAAATACCAAAAACAAAAAAAAACGTCTTTATTTCCAAACTAGAGCAGCCTGCTTCTAATAAACAGAAATGACACTGTCCAATTTAGCTGACTTCTAATATTTCTCAAATTTCTTTAAATATAGGTATAGTGTGTTTATTCTAAAAGAGTGCAACATAATTAAAATTTGAATCAAGAAGGGGCCTCTCAAAAGGGCAATTACAAATCAGAAGGAGATGATAAAGTGAGTGAATTTTCTGGCTGGCCTAACAAAGGCCATTTTACATTTGGACAAGTGACTAGTTAACAAAAATGTACACTCAATCAGAATTGTAACATTCACCTTTTGTCTTACATGATTTAATATCAGTGAAGAGGTTAGAACTGATATACTATCAAACATTTCCTGTAGAATATAATGCAAGGATGATGGTATCTAATCTTCGGTCAGCCTTGTGAAACACATTTCAAAGTCATTCATTTCAACTCAGCTGTTATTGTTTATCAGCAAGTTTCAATCTTGCCACTTCTTTCTCGAGTTGCACACATGCTTGTTCAATTTCATAGTTTTTACTGACAAGCCCTACCCACTGGGCCTCTAACTGACGTAACTTCTCTCCTCCTTGCGTCTGCATGTTCTTGCGCTGCCAGTTGATCTCCTGAATCAGCTTCCTAAAAAAAAAGAAAGTAAAGCTATCCCTGTAACTGGCTGTGAAGGCCCATAGGGTTGTGAGACGAGGGTCCCACATTATCCAGACAATTGGCTCAAAGATGGTGGTAAGGTTGTCAGCCTTACTCACCGGCCGCGCTTTACTCCCCAGAAAAATTATTTAATTAATTCCTGGTACTCATTTCTGAGTCAACCCCAGGGCCATAGTGCGGCTGGAAGGATTAGGTCAATTGAAAAAATTAATGACCTCATCAGGACTTGAACCTGCGACCTTCCGGCTTGTAGCATAGTGCCTCAACCAACTACGCTACCGCATGCCCCCTGAATCAGCTTCCTATTGGATAAAATTCTGCATGAGGAAAACCAGATCTGGATCTATATGAAACTAATTGCCTATATTCTAAGTCTAAAACATCTCTGAGGGTGCATCAATATCAGACAATGGCACAGATCACTACATCATCATTAGAAAGCTCCTGGGTTCTATTTTCAACCCACGATGGGAACCTAAATCATCATATCGGAGATCTCATTGAGCACACAGGACTTCTTAAGTTCCCTATTCAAAGTATGGCATACCCTCAAAGATGTTTTATATGGAGACTAAAAGTAATACCTTATGTACACATGTGAATGAGTTTAAAGGTGAATCACCATATATGGCTGTCTGTCTGCCTTTGCTTGTACGTGAATATATATAAGAAATTACAGCAAGTCAATGAAGCACCATAATGATAAGACTTCTTCTAAATATCTGTGCAGAAGCAAACTGCAATCTTATGGCACCAGTGTGCATGAACTACATACTTAAAGCTTGGTATACAAGAGTAGAGATGATGGTGCATGGCTGGAGGGAGTAGGCATGCTGGGACATGTGTTGTCTGTCTTTCTAAGAGCATAGGTTTGTGCTCCTACATTAGTGCATTCTCTGTTCAGTTGGAATTGCCTCTGACATGAATTTCAATATATTGGGGCATTTCATTTCCTGATTTCAGATAACTATGTGGTTTCCTATCATAGATAATGTCATAGTTCCAAGTGAGTATTCTAGTAAGAAGCTTTTTGTTTGGATGACAGCAAGCAACATAGAAGGATATTAGCTCTCTCACTGGTTGTAGCCAATGAACCCAACATTCCTCTGATATGGGCTACAGACAACTCTTAAGGCAGTGTTACACGAGCGCACAAAATGCGTCCGTTGTAACAAACGCACTTTGCTGAGGACACCACACCGTTGCAGAATGTGGTGTGTAGTTTTCTGTCTGCAATGGAGCCGGAAGAAAGTGTAGCATTCGCCTCTCGTTTATTTCTACAACGGACGACACGACGTTCGTTACAACAGGCACATTTTGTGCATTCGTGTAGATGCTGCCTAAGAAGATGGATTCAAATCTATCCTTTGCACAGGTGCCATAAGACTGCAAACTGGGCATACCATATTTATCCATATACCAATAAAGTACGTAGCCCTTCTTTTTGAAGACAAATTATAAGACTTGAATTTATTGGTACAACACTGTACACTATGCATCTGAGTATAGTATTCTTTAGGGGCCACGCCATTGCTCAAGCGGTTAGTCGCTGGCTTCCCACTGTGGCGGCCCAGGTTTGATCACGGGTCTGGTCAAGTGGGATTTGTGGTGGACAAAGTCGCACTGGGGCAGGTTTTCCCTGAGTACTTCAGTTTCCCCTGCTAATCTTCATTCCACCAATTGCTCCACAATCACCCTCACCTATCATCTGGAGCTGGTACAATAGGCCAGAAGTGGTCGCAGTACAAAGGAGTTAGTCCCACCCCACAAGCATTAAAAAAAAAGTATTCTTTGCTCAGCAAAATGCCAATCACAAAGGGTAAAATGTAAAGATAAATCTATCCCTGTAACGGGCCGTGGAACCCCATAGGGTTGTGGGATGTTGTGGCTCCCGCATTTTCTAGACAATTGGCTCACAGATGGTGGTGAGGCTGTCACCCTTATGCTGCAGCTGGCCAATCTAAAGGGTGGAAAATTCCTAGTACTCATTTCTGTCAGAGGCTGAGTCGACCCCAGGGCCACAGTGCAGATGGAAGGATTAGGTCAACTGAAAAATCTAATGACCTCATCAGGAATCAAACCTGCAACCTTATGGCTTGTAGCAAAGAGCCTTAACCAACTATGCTACCATGTGCCCCCAAATGCCACTCATAAAGTGCTGTAACAATGTGAAATTTAACTATATGCCATCTTCGTTTTTGAACACAGGTTGATATTTTAAAGCACATGTTCTGATGCAAAGTATGTATTTTGTGAGCTCTTTAAGTTCTCATGATTGTGACTATGAAGATTACTATCTTTTGGAATGTAATACCATGTTGTCTAGTGGAGAGTTACAAAACTACAGTGTCACAACACAGAAGACTAATCTGAATAGATATTTTATGTTTTTAGGAACAAAAATATGGACTGTAATTGGCATGCTGTGCTTACTGTTTGTGGCTACTCTTCCATCTTACACTACACAGAGTGGCTTCCTTGAGTCTGCTAAGTTGCTGTATCTTACCTCATGCTCTGGAGCTGTTTCTGTGCCTGGGTTACCAACTGCACCAAGATTTCAAGGTAACTTTTCCAAGCTTCACAACCGTATTCAACCATTAGCTCCAAATTACAAATTCTGGAAGACATTATTAAAGGATTAATCAGTTCAAGAACTGCTATCAGTGCTAGTACACACAAAACCATGGAAATACAGGATACACACATATGGACATAACATATAACACATACACAATTTTGAAGAGTGCGGATATATTGGCTGTGCAGCCTAAAGCATGAACTGTTGTTGCCTGCTCAACACTTGGGTGGTCGTGCGTTCAATCCCCACTCAAGGCATGAATGTATATCTCAGTTTGTGTTGTCCTGTGTAGGTAGTGGCCTTCCAGCTGGCTGATCCCCCACCCAAGGAATCCTACCTATAGTCTCATGATTAAGAAACTGTAAAACATAGGCTTAGGTTCATCATGGACTGTAGCGCCCACAGATTAATTAATTAATGGGTATGTATCTTTGGATGGTAGCCAATTTCAATGCACATTCACAATAGAACTCTTGTTGTATAATATATATATATATAAACAAACCTTGTTGCCTGATGTTCCAGCTGTGCCATGGAATTCTCAACACACTCTGTCCAAGCTGCAATATCCGTCATTTTACCAGCAGGTGGAGGTGGAAGTTCGTAACGCTTCATGCTCAGCACATCCATTGGTTGACGCTGTTGCATGCGTTCAAACTCACTACGCATTATCTCAGTCTATAGGACGGAAATGTTGAGAATTGAAATAAATTAATGAAGATGGGGCAGGGGTCTCATGATATGGTGCAACAACGCAATGTCTCTCATTCTCTGTTGGTCAGCCTGAATGTTAATTTTACTTACCTCAAAAGCACTCAAATTGAGAGGTGGCAGATGTTCTAAATAATTTTTCGTAGGTCTGTATCTTCTGGTCTCTTCTTCAACCATTGCCAGTGCCTGAAATTCAGTGACATTGAAGATGATTAAACATATAATCCCCCAAAATTTCAATTATAACGTCAAAAAATCCATTTGTGCATAGGTATTTACCGCTTCACGAACACCGGGCTCGTCATAGCCTTGATCGATATACGGAAGAGCGTCAACCACAACCTCACCTGCCATGCTTATAAACTGTGCGTTTAAATACGCTATGAGGGCTATGAGATAATCTTGACTCACAAGACAAGCATAATCGAATTATACATATATTTCGCTCATTTAACCATCCATTGAAAACGGTGAAGCTATCGAGTATTTCGATTGTTTCGATAGTTAAACTCTGCTATCGAATTTGTATTCGATAATTCGATAATGCCCATAACGTATGAACTGCTGCTTCTGGGTTTGGGTGGAACCTTGGGTATTCGGGTTTCGATGCTTATCGTGGAAGGTTTCAGCTCGTGTACAGGAAAGCAGCATTTCGGGATCCGTGCTTATAATGTGAGGGAGGTTGAGGCCAAGCGTGGAGCGTGATGTGGGTTTTACTTTTTGTAATATTCAGTTATGGTAGTATATGAAGAGGTAAGATAATTTTGACTGTGGATGGAGTGTAACTTCACGTAGCGGTTGTATTGCATGCTTTAAACGTTTTCATATATTAGTGAATTTAGAGGTGGAAGTTCACTGAAGACATTCAAAATGGCAGTCATGTGGGTACATTTTTAGCTGTGTAATTGATCCGTGATTATTGGCGTACTCGCATATTTCTAGTAAATAATAAGTTTGGATATGTACACAGGTTTTGAGAAATTAAAATTACTTTATTTCATTGCTTGCATATAAGAATTTTTGGTCTTTGTGTGCAGTCATATTTTTATTGAAAATTGTCTCTTGTAGAGATAACGCTTTTAAGAACAACAAAAAGTAATTACAGTAAAATTTTTGCAGAATATTTGTTTTATGCCCAACCACGTTTTACATTTTATTTATAGTCGGCAGTCAACACTTCGTATTTATGATTAACTTATGAACAGGCATGAAGCGTACGTAATTCATATTCTGTATACAGAATTAATCGTTGATGGCGAATAAACTGTTTGCTCGTAATTAATAAGAATTTGTATTTTATATTTTATTATTATTATTTTAAAGGCCACAGTCTTATATGTCACAACAGCTTATCGTTTGTACTTGTACATGTTCGCAAGGATATGAATGGTACGAATTTTATTTTTAAGTTCTATCACCGTAATTTGCTGTCATGCCACATTATTTCGAGTGGAATGCAGTAATTTCAGCCTTAACAATAATATTTTGACCTTAAATCTATATACATTTGAATGGCAAAAAAACTGCACGTTTCTGCCATGTAAATAATGAAAACTGCCATTGGTCACGACTGAATGATGACAAACTACAGAACGTACTTATCGTGTTTTATCAAATGCGTTAGCTCCATGCTATAGCTGTGCAGGGCTGGTAGGTAATTGTCTTGTGAAGTTATTATGCTAATTCTCATATTCACTTCTTTGATTGCATTTGTTTTTTTGTCTTCACATTAATCTCTACAGCATCTTATCTGATTCTTGGAATATTCTCATACTTTCTGTGTGTTTGATATCACATGCCTATCCCCCAAATGATAATACTTGTGCAGTTTTAATCACAAGAATCTAGTCATTCACTTTCAGTTTGACCATACATTTCATTGATCATTATACCGTGGAAATTATTAATGTTATAATGCATAAAATGGCACTAATGCTACAAGCTGGAAGGTAATGTTGTGGGTTCAAGTCCGGATGGGGTCATTGGATTTTTCAATTGACCTAATCCTTCCAGCCGCACTATGGCCCTGGGGTTGACTCAGTTTCTAACAGAAATTAGTACCAGGAATATTCTTGAAATGTTCTTGGGGGTAACGGGCAGCCAGCGCGTAGGGCTGACAACCTTGCCAGCATCTATGAGCCGACTGTCTAGAAAATGTGAGAACCTCGACAAACCGCAACCCTATGGGCCTCCATGGCCTGTTGCTGCGATACCCTCACTTTACTTACTTTATAATGCATAAAATAAGATTAATGAGTCAACATATATAGTGTAAAATAACTCACATGACTGGGTGTATGGTATAATTTTAAATATTTTGGAAGGATTTTCTGTATTGAATGTGTGAGATTTAGCTCCAGTTCCCCTGTATACCGCCATGATGCATGACACTGAAGAAACATAACCATAACTTATTGCAAAACACTTTGTCTCATGGCAAGTGTACCTAGGTTACTGTTGAAGAAGAGAAGTTGCAGTGCTTAAAGCAAAGTAGTAAGGTGATATTTTGATTTAGAAGTATTAATAATATTCTAACTTCTAAATTCTCTCAGTTTTGTTGCTTGGAAGAAAAAGTTTTTAAAACAATTTTGGCCTCCTGACCCTTGTTACAATGTGATGCTATGGAGTCAACTAATGATCATTTGCTGCAAAATTTATTTTGAACATGATAATAAATAGCTGTGAATTAATTAAATTAACGCAGTCTAATGTAACCAGACTTGAATTTGTTGGACAAAGAGAAGTATTTGTTTAAATATAAGAAAAAAATTTGTTTTGAAGGAGAAAATGAAGCATAAATAACTAACTCATCCAATCCATGGAGATGAGACCTTCTTGAGAAGCTGCCAGTTGTATTGTTACCCAAGAATTTCCCAACATTTTATGGAACCCGAAGGTTCATGCGGTAGCTATAAAATTCTTTGCTCCTCCATAGTGTCCAGCTAGGCTTTGGGGCCCACCAAGCCTCTGTATAGTGGGTATGAACGGCTGTTTCCATGGGGGAAATGTGGCAGGGGCATGTAGCTGACCATTCACCTCTGCATAGTGCCAAGGTTAAGATGGTGGAGCTATACCTCTACTGTCCCATATGTCTTCATGACAAAGTTCTTGATTAACTGGAGAGGTAACTTTACTTTTAAGTGCTGCGTATCCAGAACTGTAGCTGTTTGAGGAGAGTATGGAGTAAAACAAGTGAATGTAAGTTTTGGCTGACCATATCAGAACATCCCATAATATTTAGAATATACTGAGAATACTGTTTATATTTTGTCATCTGTTAGTATTAACTCTGTAATAGCTTGTAATAGCAGGTGGCAGATTTTGTATTAAGCAAAATTATGTAAACTTGCATTTGCATGACAAGAGTCCCTTCATCTACAGCTCCATATACAGGAGGTGGGCAGAATATTGAAAACACTAAAAACTGAGGAATGAAATTTGTGTTGGCTACATTAAAAGAACTTCAGTTGGCAGCACTAAATTTTCTTACATTTGTTTACACACACTGTACTGTTTGTGTCAGTGGTTTAGTGATTGTGTTGAGTGAGTCTGTGTGGAAGAATTGGAAAATGGGAGACTTGTCTGATTTTGAAAGAGGACAGATCATTGGTGCACGTTTAGCTGGTGAATCTGTGACAGAAATTGCCACATTATCAGTTGTATGGAGAGCAGCAGTTTCTAAGGTTATGTCAACCTACACAAATCATGGGAAGACAATCTCAGTGAAACTCAACATTGACAAAAATAGATCCTCATACATTGAGGATTGTTTAAAAAAATCACAGAGGTGAATATTCATCTTGAAGACCCTGTTTCCACAAAATCTGTTTGAAGGAAGCTTCAAAAATCCAATATTCATGGTACAGCTGGAATTGCTAAACCTCTGATTACTGAAAGTAATGTTCAGATGTGTAAATGATGATGTCACGACCATAAATAAAACCTGGACATCAGACAACTGGAAGTGTGTGCTATATGGTCAGATGAGCCATCTTTCACACAGTTCACTACATCAGAAAGTGTTTACGTTTGGAGAACACCCACGTAAGCCTATAGTTCGGAATGCCTGTTTCTAACAGTGAAACATGAGGGAGGTTTAGTGATGGTTTGGACAGCAATATCATGGTCTTCTATTGGTCACATTATTACCCTTCATGGCCAGATTACTGCAAAGGAGTGTGTGGGATGGTTGGGTAATCAGGTGAAGCCTGAACAATGATGTAGGTCTCCAAGATGACAGTGCCCCTGTTCATCCAGCTGGAACTGTTTGTTCATGGTTTGAAGAGCATGAAGGTCAACTTCAACTTTCCTGCCAAGCACATGAGTTGTGAAACACTAGTTTTAATATTGTTATTTCATCTGTAATAATTTGTCGTTTGTAGAGTGTCATCTTCTGGAATGTGACACCATGTAGTGTGGTAGAAGTATACCAGTGTTCCTCCAGAACATCAGTGTATTTCTACCAGACTACATGGACTCATATCCCAGAAGGCAGTACTTTTCAGTCATTGTCATGAGGACCTTGAATCTTAAATGTAATGCTGCAGTTTTTTGTTGTTGTTTTTTTTAAACTGGTTTTGTGAAATTATTGCATAGCATAGTTGATAAGTATGCATAAGAGGAACAGTTGCTCTTTCTGCTCAAAATTTGTAACCTAATGTTTTGTAGTTACTATAGGATTCTGACGATGGTGTATAACACACTGATATATTGGGTTTTCGGACTTTATCCATCGTCCTGGTTTTTAAGATAACTAATAAAAACACGTTTCGGAAACTGGATCCAGTGAGGTCCAGTGATTGATCTTTCTAATGGACCCAACAGAATAGGTATTTTCCTTCACCTGAGGACGGAAACAGATCCAGTTTCCGAAACGTGTTTTTATTAGTTATCTTAAAAACCAGGACGATGGATAAAGTCCGAAAACCCAATATATAACTAATGATTTGTGTTAACCATCAGAGAACTATGGTTTGTGTTGCTGAGTGGGAATACATGCTGAACCAGTTATTTTGAGCATTAAACTTCAATCTTCCATTTGAAGGGCAGTGTTTATTTAAATAACATTAAAACGACTCTGCAATATGCCCACAGAATGCTTGTGTTCCATATGATAGTGTTTACTTCCCTTAACAGCACTAAACATTGGTCTTTGTAATAAAGATGCAGTATGTTTTCTGTGAGATAGGAACTGATATTGTTTAACTAAATTACTCTTCGAAGGAATTTTTAATTGAAGTAACTTGTTTTTATAGCATAGCAAGGTTGTTGGTTGATAGTAGTTTTCAAGTTATGTTGATTCAGCATACTGTAAACACATATACCCCAAATCTTTTGTGGAGAATGTGTCATAAACATGTTTACCACATGCTGTAGTATCTAACTGATCAAATACAAAGTTGTAACGTTTTCAGTGAAGTTACTGTTGCAGATGATAGGTGTTGTCCTTTCAGATCCCGTGAGAGCTGGTTCACCTAGAAGCTGAGGGACATCTAGCTGCAGTTGCTGCTGTCTGCGGTGTGCAGATGTGAAGACACTTTGTCAGTTGCAGTAAAGGCAACGAGGGATGTGGGTGACAATTCAGACTTAGGCATGCCGAAGATAGGGAACGAGGGGCCCCAATTGCTACTTACAGACATGAGAAGGTAAGTGAGCCAAGTGTGATGTCTTTTCTCGAAATATACAGCCAAGATAAAAGAAATATTATGGTATTCTTCTGTATAGTGTAAAACATATGTAATACCAGTAAGTACTTCTAATTTCCTGAAAATTAATGACAGTATATATTGTGACATGTACACCCATTGCTAGGTAGCCATGCTAAACACATTCTGGCAGAAGCGAACGTGTGGAAGAGTAGTATGTCTATTGCTAGGTAATGGACCAGTAAACACATATTTTTGACAACAGAAGATGGTGTTTTCCAAAGTGGTTATAAGGAGTGTTTGGTAGGACAGGAGAGTAGAAGCAGTGTAGCAGTGGGTGTAGAACAGTAGTCTACAGTGGTAGTCTTTGGAATTTGGAGTCCAAGGTGATTGAGAAGAAATGGCAAGAAGCAAATTAGGCAGTGCAAAGAAGACTTCACGTGTGATTTGAAGTTACAGTGAGACTGATAAATCCATTGCCAGGAGACTACTAATGAAGACAGAGAATCCTATTGCATGTGGAACGGTGAGCTGCAAAGTGCGTAGAATAGCGATAGCGCGGTATTGCCTGCATCCCCAAGTTGTGTGGATGTATAAGATGCAATCATCCAATCCAAAACGCGTCTGTACTCACCCATACACGTGACAACTTGGTGTCAGAAGTGGGATTGGATTGAAGATTGCATTGTGTAATTACATCACCACATTGAGATGGAACAAGTGACTGTCTGCCTGTTGGTCAAGATGAAAGTCGACCAAGAGGAAATGACGGCAAGGTTGGAAGCCAAGATGGACATAAATCTAAAGGGAATGAAAGAAATGCTGGCGAAGATGGAAACTAACCAGGAAAGGATGGTGGCCTGTCTAGGAAATATGGAGACAAATCCCGAGGAAATGCAGTGTGTAGCAGTGCATGAGTAGGTCCCCAAGGAAGAAGTGGCATAGGGACTGGCATCTAGCCACAGGGTGCTGTCAGCCAAAGGAATGGACCCAGGACAATGGTGGGTACTGGAAGAAGTTGGCTGCTGCCTGTACAAGGATGACCTGCCATGTAGGAGTGGCATGGCATAAGGAATACTGTCATCAGGGACATCGTGGTATGAGGAGCCCCAAAAGGAAAGACGCTCAGGAGACAGCAGCTGCATCTAGAAAGCAAGAGGGCATTCAGCAAGATTGTCAGGAATACTTTCACACTGGAGTTCGTGAAGTGAATAGCTGGATCGTCTGTCATGGTGTGGGAAGTAAGGGATTGGACGTTGTGGAGGGGCCACACCCCTCTAAAATGGAAAAGTGACTGCACTGAGAGTAGCAGCCAGAATGTGGGAGCACTGGCGACTCTAGTTAGTTTTGCCCCCACCATTTGGAAAAGAAAGGGAAAAAAAACAAACAAACAAACAAAACAGGATAGTGATAGTGATACACCTGGATCGACTGCCACCCTGTCAGGGAGATGAGACTGATCACAGACATTGCAAGCACAGCCCTTAGAAGAGAAGAAATGGTGGTACGCCTGTAGGCTCTTCGCGATGAACAGCCTTAAGGGAGGAGCAATGTCACATGTATACTCATTGTTAGGCAATGGTTTGCTAAACACGTTTCCCTCAAAAGCAAACGCGCAAAACAGTAGGATGTCTGTTGCTAGGTAATGGGCCAGTAAACATGTATTTTTGACAACAGAGGGTGTTTTCCATGTGGTCCCACAAAGTGGTTATAAGAAATGTTTGTCAGGACAGGAGAGTAGAAAAAGAGTATAGCATGGAGTATACAACAGTAGTCAAGTCTTTGGAATTGATGGTTCACAGTGATTGTGAGGAAATGGCAAGAAGGGAATTAGGCATAGCAGAGAAGACTTCACATGTGATTTGAAGTTACAGTGAGACTGACAAATCCATTGCCAGGAGATGACTAGTGAAGACTGAGAATCCTAGTGCATGTGGAATAGCGCTAGCACTGTATTGCCTGCATCCCCAAGTTGTGTGAATGTATAAGGTGCAATAAATCCAATCATCCAACCCATCTGTGGTCACCCCTACACTTGACAATATTAGCAATGAATAAGACTGCTCGGGTATTAGTGACTACGTAGATAGCAACTCTTACATGTGTATCATCTTTTTCCCTATACCCGCTAATGGGACAAAATTATAAATTTTCACATGGGTCTGTCACTCAGCTTAACTGTACTTTTAAGCATGTGGTTGTGTGAAAAATGAGCCTTACAGTTACGTTCATATATAATTTCTCACCAACCACGGTGTCTTATCATTCCAAGAGCTCTCTCTTGTTCTAATTATAGCAGAGTGCACATTCTGTCTCATTTGTCCACACTAACCTAACATTGCCATAATACTTTGATGTTGATTTTGTTATTGGCTCCTTGCACTGTGTGGATATGGGAAGTTTTGCTGTTTTGGAAGTACATGCCACCTCCATATTAAGAGTGGAACACTTGTTCACCCAACTCTCTGATGCTGAAGATGGATGCAGCATGTATCTCCAAAACCAAGCAACACTGTCAGCATCCATTCAGTGTAAAGACTCAGGGGAAGAATCAGCATCAACACTGAGGAACCTTGGAAACCTAAAATTTGTGATTTCTTTTTTAATCTTGGCACCTAAGGTCACATTCACACATAGCGTGCTGCGCACCGACCGTGTGCAGACTGTGCTCTGCTGCCACCATTCCCATATAGTGGACTGGTCGCTGACTGTGTTGTGGCTGGTTTTTACTTTGCATTTGTAGAGATGGATGAGAACGAAGCTGATGTGATTGCTGCATGCGGAACATACCTTGTGTTGCAAGAAGAAAAGAAAATAGTGGGTTCATCAGTTATGGAGAGCAAGAGATGAAGGAGAATTTCATACGATATATTCTTGCCTTAAGGATTATCAGGATAAATTCTTCATGTACTTTCATATGAGCGTACGAAAATTTGGAAATCTGTTAAAAATACTGGGACAAGAATTGACAAAACAGAATTCTAAATGGAGGCAATCTGTTTCACCGGAAGAAAGGTTAGCTTTAACAAAGAAATACTTGGGTTCAAAAGACTCGCAAATTTCTCTGAGTTTTAGCTACAGCCTGGATCCTTCAACTGTAAATTCTATTATATTTCAAACTTGTAAAGCTATATGGAAAACAATGGCCAAAAAAAGAAATGCCAGAACCAACTGGAGAAATGTGGCGAAAAATGACGGATGACTTTTATTCAATGTGGCAGTTCCCCAACTGCATAGGCGCAATTGACGGGAAGCACTTTGAAATACAAACTCCTAAAAATAGTGGATCCCTCTACTTCAACTATAAAAAACCTTTTCAGTTGTCCTTTTGGCACTCGTAGATGCGAACTACAAGTTTGTGGTTGTTGACATTGGAGGGTATGGTGGCATTTTTTCAAATTCAGTTTTTGGAAATGTTTAGAACAGAGCTGCTTGAACATTCCAGAGCCAAGGCCTGTACTGAATTCCACAGAAACCTATCCTTTCAGTATTGTTGGAGACAAAGCATTCCCTTTAAACGAAATTTACTACGGCCATACCCAGGAAGCGCAGCCTGTGACGATGAAGGAAAACAAATATACAATTACAGGCTCTCTAGAGCACGTCGTGTGGTCAAAAATGCAAACACAATTATTAAGGCTGTGTGTGTTACATAATTACTTGAGGGATGAAGGGTCTGTTACAGAAGGCGTATCTGAACATGAAAGCCAAAATCGTACGCCAAGCATGCTGTCCTTACATCACATGGGTGGACATTACAGCCAGGAAGCTCTAGATATCAGAGAACGATTCTGCCATTACTTTAGCACCATTGGGGCTGTGCCATGGCAACTGGACATTGCAAGAAGAGGAAGAACTGCGATGGAAAATGATTATTAATCTATCTCAGCTGGGGGTCCTACAGCTTCTGCCGCATCTCTGATGCCATGCTTCTTTTTGAAAGAAGAGAAATATTCCAAATTCATTCCTATTATTGCTGGCAGTTCCTTGATTATTAATGAGGCTGTAATTGACAACCTTTTTGTTTTTAAATAATAGTAAATAATCAGGACTATGTGATTTGTAAAATTGTTGTGTTTTTGTAAGTAGAAAATCATTTTGTAAAATAAGTAAACAACAGAAAAATAAAATCTGAAGAACACAAAGAATAAAACAAAAATAATAGCATGGCGCATCTTCTGTGTATGAGTGCATAAGCACTACATACATAACAAGGTGCATGCGTAGATGCACAGGCTTTTGTGCGTGCCTGTTTGTGGCACATATGCTATACAATTGTTTTTTGGAAAAAGGAAGGGTATGTTTTGTTTTATTTTATTTTCAAAATTCTAAATCTTTTACAAGACAACAAAAAATAAGTAGCCTCTGCAATTAAGAAATGAAATAGCTTTTACAAACGTTTTACAAGATTTTGTTTAATTGTTGGTGGGTTCATGTGGGACAGCTTCCTCTTGAGGTGGATAATTATAAGGCTCATGCCCAGCGGCCCCGGCAATGCTTGTGTGCACTGTCATATAATATCCAGTCCTTGCATCTTGGTTGTAGCTGGGGGTACAGGTTGCTTTGTACAGTACATACTGAATGAATATTTCCCTCTTGTTGACAAGATTAAGTATTTCCCGCTTTACTTCTGCTTGATCAATTTCTGGGAATTTCATTATGCTTTCGCATGTCATCCATGAATGTCATTAATTTGTTCTTTGCCACAGCAAAGGTTTTCTTCTGGTTTTTATAAACGAAGTTAAAGCTGAGCAAGGTTTGCATTTGGAGTATTTTTCTTCTTCTGTAATGACCTAGCCGATAGTGTTGAACTAGCTGGCGAGGCGGCTGGTGTTATTTCCACATCATCACCTTTAGCCTTGTCGTCTTGTGCTCCGTCTTCTGTTTCATCACCTAAATTTGTTGATGTTTCTCTCTCTTGCAAATGCGGCTTGAGAAATTGCATTTGCTCCTCATACCTCCAGTTCTTTATTTTTTTTTGCAGCCTGTCCACTGGTCATTCTCCATTGACTTAAATCTCGTTGGTAATATGAACGTAACAAGGCCGATTTTGCTTTGCAGTCATCTACTGTAGAATGAAGATGCCTCGTAATGTCCTTCCAAACTTTGTCTTTTACTAAATTATCATAGTGTGGGTTGCTGAGGTTATAAAGAAATTCATGTTCTTGCACCAATAATATGAGTTTCTCTTAATCCATAGTGATGAATGACAAAAATACGCGTGCTCTAATTGCGACTCTCTCTCTCTCGCACTGATCTAAACAAATGCTTCGCTCCACTTTGGCACAAAGATGTGCTGTAACGAAAACTGCTGGGCGACCAGTGGGCGCCCTTTCGTTATTCACACATACAGGGCTGTGTGTCAAGCCGTGACCTTGATGAATCACTTTTGAAACGGTCAGAGACAACAGTCTTCACCCAGTCCAGCATGTCTGAATTACATAAACCTATGCAGTACGTTTCAAATGCAGACTACCGTCTAGCAATTCCATTCAAAATGACAGTCTGTGCACAGCTCGCCATGTGTGAATTAACCTTAATCCTGTTATGACTGCAAAAGGTGGTATGGGCACACAAAGGGCAAGAAATGAGATGTCTTGAGAAATGGAGGTAGTTGTTGGAAAGGCTTTTCTTTCTTTTCATTGATGTGTTTGTATGTTTGCTGAATGGAAGTGCAACTTAGATTAGGCTTTGATGAGTAACTACAGCTGTGCAGAACCAAACCCCATTTCCTGTAGACTCTAGCATTCTCCAACTTCGGCTACACCTACCCCTTTGGTTGGGGAGGGGTACTGTATTTCAGACATTTTGTGCTTAATTATTGATGAGTGATTTCATCCTGTTTTCTTCCACAGGTCAGGTGCCTTGAGGCTGTGAAATTCGTAGCAGCTTATCACATGAAAAGATCTTGGAACATGCACTGAAGTGGTGTACAACTTATGTGTTGAAATAAAGTGACTGTCTTCAATTTTGTCTTGGTTTGTATGTGGGTACAAGGGATGGGAATCTCCTTCCTTACTGCTTTTGCATCAGCTCCTGGTGACAATGGAGAATGCTATTCTGTAAGTTAAATCATTATTAAGTGTGATCATGAACTTTGGAACTTGAACCATTAAGCCCTGAAGCCAGGCCACACAATCTCTCCTGTTCTGTTTCTGGCTTCCAACAGTTCTTCCCTGCCTAAACCATTATCCGCATCACACCCACAACTCAGCAAAACCCACCCTCTGGTTGCAGAACCTGAAGGCTCACCATTGCTGATATGAACATCCCCCATAAATTTATATAATTCAGAGTGTCGTAGTATTTATTGAAAGATCCACATTTTCATTTGAGCCTTGTAGGCAATTTCCTCATCCATAATCCATACACATTTCTTACTTCCCCCAACCAAACCACACTGGGCCTGTAGTTAATTTCACAACCTTAACAATGCTGAGTTCCTTGCATAAATGTTCCTTACACAGTATTTCAAGAAACCCAATACTACTGCAGTTCTTATATGCACAGTAGAACGCAAACATATACTGGAAAATTGCATTATTCTGTCAGCAGCACCAGTGCCTTGGTAGTATTTGTTTCAGTAGTCCTGCATGTAGTTTCAAAATGTTTGTATGTCTGGTGACTTGCTTTCCATTGCATGTATTTTACTGTGTTACTGTCTTCACAAACCAGTGTTCTCAATGTCCATCTTCGGGGTTGAAGGGTATGCCAGACGGCAAGAAGTGCTGCTTTGCTAGCATACTCTTCAATCAGATGATAGGGTCTACCTAAGTATATGGCATCACATCATGCCAAGAATTGTAGTTGATATAATGCAGTTCTTGTCCCGAGTTTGTGAAGACAGTTACCAAGCAAATGTACTGAAACAGTCACTGGATGTACATTCACTATGGACTTAACTCCAGTACAACCCCTGAATTAGTCTATCCTAATGGTTGTGGTGCTTCTGATGGAGCCATGTGATTTCCACCAATGTTGTGTTCTACTGTGAGAAGAGAAGCACTTTGTGCAATGGTGGGTGTAGCTCATCTCACAAGTGGAATTCTCAATGCCACAATTCATCAGAGCCTCTAATGTAAGAACACTGGTGGTCTAGAGGACAAGACTGGGGTTCAGTAATGCAGCATCCACCAGTTCCAGCCAATCTGAAAAGTAAACATTAAAGATAATACTTTAAAACAGTTTTCTCAAAGGTCAAACATATCAGGAACATCTGAAATTACTTTTCATACCAGAACCTCGTGGTCTGGTGGGTAAGCCACTGGACAATCATGGTTCAGTATCACTGTCTTCACTGGTTCAAATCCATCTAAAAGCTGAAAATTAAAGATAATATTTTTAAACAGTTTACTCAAAAGACAAACATATCAGGAAGATCTGAAATTGTTTCTAACATGAGAGCTTTGTGGTCTAGTGGATAAGACACTGGACAACCAATTTGAGGATAAAGAGTCAGCAGTTCAAGTCCCACAGCCAAGAAAAGACTTCAAGGTTGAGAAAGATAACAGAGCCATCTGGAAGCCACAGAAGAGAAGTATGAGAAAGGTAGGATGGCAGACAAAAAAATTTTTTTGGCTATCTCCCAACCATTTTTTGTTCCTTCTGACCTCCCAAAAATTGCTACTATGCTCATAATTTTTATAATGCCTGGAGAGCTCACCACATGGCAGAAATTTCAGACTAAAATTTTACTAGCATGCCAACAATTTTTAGTACCAGAAATTTCCTGCAGGTGGCAGAACCAAAATTTTTACTAGCACAGCAACCATTTTTAGTACCAGAGAATCCCTGCAGATGGCACAGCTTCTCATCCTTCAAACATGGCCACCTGTACCTAGAGCCCACCCAAAATATTGTGGGCTAGAATTGGTTTGATGGTCACACCTTCCTAGACATCAAACCCCTCAACAAGTGGCACACCCCCACAAGAAAAATAAAATTCAAACACATTTACCTACATGGATGGGATTTGTCAACTTCAGCCTTTATTGTGTTCCAATTACGTGCACAAATGTCAGGTGATACATTACAGCTTGGATTCTCAAGCAGCCTTAATGTTTCACCTAACGTTCTCACCGCTGCAACCCTGAAGAATGCAGTCCACTGAAAGAAACGTAATGCAGATGATGGCACTGAACATGGCTGCTTACTCTTTGCCTCTAAAGATGGAGGCAATGGCATCATACCCCAAAAGGAGTATATTTCTTAGCAGTAATCATATGAAAAGACAATGTATATAATAACCAGAAGCTAGGTATATAGTCTCTGTGCATATGCCTATACATTTTCAATGATTTTTTTAAGTGATCCCTGACAACCATTCACACACCAACACAAGACATGCTGTTCACAAAGCACAATGTTTCATTAACCTCTATTTACAGTCACTGCCATTATACAAAACTAGAAACTGAAATTCAGGCAATCCTGTTGTTCTAATGTTCATTACTGAGTCAACACCAATTTTGACATACCAAGTCTGTTTCTGTATCTTTCCACGTAACATGTGACTGCAAGGTTGTCTACACACAATCTATTTTCGAAACCTTAACAATAATAATACAGAACAGATGTCATAAATATACAATACAGGTGAGACGGCTTGGCTGGCAAAACAAGATCTCAATTCTGTCACCACCCTACATGTTACACGTATTGACACACTCAAATCTGTCCCTCTATGGGAATTTCTGGGGGAGGGGATCAAAGCTTAAATAAAAAAATTAAAATCTGCCATTCTTATGTTTCAATTATAGACCACAGTTGTGGGCCAATCCATAAGAACAGTATTGAATGACTTATCATATTCATAAGTCAATTTTCTGGCTGCCCTCCCTTCGATAAAAGCCTGATGGTGCCCATGAAACCCAATGAATTGGTAAATTTAGGATATGGAAGAAAATGCTTTCCCATATTCACAACGTAACATTCTGCAATTCAAATAAATCTGGAGCTGACAGGACTAACTGGGTTAGAGGTAAAACATGGCAGTCTTTCTTTACATACTGACATAATCCAGAGCTAGCACTGAAGCGATCTACATCCATTTTGCCAAAAAATGGTACTGTTTTTTTTACTCAGCAGTTTCATCAAATTTCTCCTCAATTCTGGAAGTTCATCTTAGGCATGATATGAGGTGCTGGGAAAAGGTCAGCTTTTGGCATTATTACATCAAAAATGTTCTCTACTAATGACCACTAACATGGCTAATAGAACAGTGCACTTCACTCTGTATTTAGACGATACAGTCCTCAGTTTACCCTTAAAAAAAGTCACCTATGTGCAATCTAATTGTGGCATATTTCAAAATGTGTCATCATTTCTTCAAACAGGTCTGTCCCAATGAACCTGGAAATAGGGCTATATAATACAGAATGGTCTTAATACTCAAGTCAGGCACAGGACACCTGTCCCTCAGAAAATATCC